ATCCAGTTTTTTTTTTTCAGGGGGAGGCTGTAGAAAATTTAAAAATATAGCTAATATATATTATTCACTCAAATTATGTATGTTTATATATATATTGATATAAAAATGAATACAGTTTACAAATTATTATAATTAATGTAATTGTAATAATACAATGAAATTATTGCAATCAACCAAATTACCCATATGGCTACAAATGGATACACATAATTTGATATTTTAAACAGCTGCGCTAGATCAAGGTACTTATCAGTCCATATTCTATAAAAATTATTGTTATTATTAAATGAACACCATGTAGATTGATATCTATACATTATTCATTTCGTTTTTCTGTATACATTTTAATCAATGATAAGGTCACACACTTTTTTAATGTGAAGTCTGTGGATAAGATACAAATATTGTAATTTTCTGCGTCTTACAAAATACGCCCCTGACACCAACAAATAACAATAAATACATCGTTTTGTTCCTCAAGATCGACTTTTGACCCATGACCAGCCATGTTATGTCGGGGTTGGCGCGTTAAAGCGTTTGCCATTTTGATTGAATACAAACAGATGGGTAATAATGATTTATATACACGTACCTAATGACGCCTTCTGCGAACCGGTAAAACCATCTCTCGGCCCACTTTCCAGCGACGGATATCCGTTCATTATTCTTCCATACTAAACGCATGTGTATAAATCGCACAAAAGACACTGATGGTAATTGTCGGATCGTTTTACTCCGGTCCGCCGGTCTTATGACCCACAGGCCACAGTTCGTACGTAACCCAACCTCGTAAAGAAAGGAAAAAAAAAAAACTACTACGTTTGCCGTATGTTGTATAACTAAGGAATATTAAGTCATGCGCAAACACAAATCCGTCTATACGTGGAGCTCGTGTTTGTGTCGTACAAGTCGACGAAAACCACAAGTCACATGCAGCCATGTCTATTTACCTAACATACGAACCTATGCGTGTACATATATTTATATTGTGTACAGCCGATCGGGCCAGTAAATATGCAACTCATAATTTTCGGTTTGTCCGGTCGTAATTTATTCATAATTTGTTCTATATAATTTTGAAGCGTTTCCATGTTAAATACACAATACATAAGCGTATACAAATTATTTTTAAATTGATATGGGTTGGTAGACGATGATTTTAAATCACGTAACGATATTTATAAATGTATTATCGTTTTATTATTTTCTGGTTTGGAAATTAATTAAATAACAGAGTTTAGTAAAGTTGTAAATAATTGGTATACTTAAAACTGTATATAACTTTATTGTACTCGTATTATGATAGTCCGTGTAATTATACAGATCAACTAATAATATAAAGTTAATAAATCTAACCTTTAATTGGTAATGTATTTTTATTTTTATTTTTTTTTTGTTTCTTGTAAAAATCTTGTAGCATATTACGATTTATAATTTATGATTTCAAGATACTCATATACAAAAGAGTATAGATATTTAATGTGTACACTATGTTTTGAATGCAAAGTTGTAGGATTTAGGTATGAGTTATTCGATGAACTGCCCACTTGTAATTTATATGAACATTTAAGTACTCTATGTTGATTATTATAGATAACAGATTTTTGCAAAACTTTTAGTTTTTTATTAGTATCAATAAGTTGTATATAATTTACGATTTAAATTTCTATATTTGTCAGACTTTTATTTTTTTGTGTCTTAAAATAGTGTTCGTTATTTTGTCCGATGTAGTTATGCTTTATGATTGCTTCATAACATTATGAGTATTGTAGGTTAATTTTGATTTGATCCCATTTTTCTTTTCCATAAATTACATTAACTAAGTAGTAGACTGCATGTAACATTGGTGCGCGAAAATATTGAAATTAATAATAGCTATAGGTGTCTAACACAAAATAACGTTGAGTGCGGTATACAGACATTATTTTCATCATACAAATTAATGACAAATAAGTGATAATTCGAGTTGAATATTGATTATAGATATAAATATTTTATTTCAAAATCTAATGGTTACTAATTTTCCTTAAGACATAATTAATTTTTCATTTGAAAATGTGATATTTATCTGTTTTATTAAGGTGATATATGTAGCATGTCGTTATTCATTAGAATGACACTGCAATCCGTGTTATTATTATTTACTCTCTGTATAATAACGATGTTGTATTCATTGTTTCTTTATTTTCATATTCAAGAGCACAATTATTATTCGTCTCAAATATTTACAATGAAAATTTTCATGGTGTATTTCGTTACGTTTTATGTTATGTAGAATATATTACTCCCCGAAGCTTAGTTACCTAAAGATATAACGGTTTTTAATCGGGATGCAACTTTAGTTGAACTAAATGAATAAAAGCTAAACGGTAATTTGTCGTCTCATAATTACCATTACAGTGGATTCAGATATTTTAATAATTGTTTATGCAATTTGTAAAGCTAAAAGTTAATCGGTATTTTTATTAAATTATTTTAATATTTATGAAGGTCTTACGAAACGGTCAATTGAAAGTATATATTGATGGTTAAATCTTTTTTTTAGTTGAAAATTAGGTGTTTTATCTTTGAATAAAAAATTTAAATTATTTCGGAGAATAAGAAAATTGGATGTGAAAATTATGATTGAAGAAAATCAAAAACTGAATAGAGTGCAAGTGGAAATTATTTAGCACTCAATAAACAAATATTTAATGCGTTAAAAATAACTGTTTGAATTTCAATATTGACCCTTAATATGATATTTTTATTATTTGCTATTATTAATTATTAAACATAAATGAAAAATTGAACACTTTTGTTTTTATATGTAAATAGGAGATTTGTGTAAAAATTAAAATTATGTTAGTATTATATCGGAATATTAATAATAATAAATTGTCTAACTTTTCATTTTTAAAGTGCATTTAATTATAATTTTACATTAATTAGCAAATAATTTACAATTTAAATAACTTAATTAATATTCTCATAATTTTATGTTTAAATAAAACGCTATTGTGGAGTATTAATGACACTACTTGGGAAATGAAAAATCATAAATATTTTAAAAACAGGATATCGGAATATTAAACTAATTAATGTGTTTTCATCATTATTGTAAATTATGTATTTGAGTAATATACTCTTAGTTCTGCTTGATCATTTTGTGTAGATTTCAATTTATTTTATTTGCATTGTCTATTGCTTTCATGCATTGATAAAAATTGACAAGATTTTCATTTCGTTGTTGTATATTTGTTAAATTTTTGCTAAGGTCCACCAGGCATGAAATCGCCTTTCATTATTTTCGACATACATTCTGAGTGTTGCGTAAGTCATTATTTTATTGATACAAAAAAACACATTACAGTGTTTATAATTATTGAAATAGAAGCTGTTTACTTCGTAAGTTACAATATATGTAAGTTACAGCAATCCGTAATTAGATGAATCATACATAGTAGCTTTTTCAATTTTAATTATTTCAATTATTTTTTAATTAAAAATTATTTTTTAAATGTTCATTGAATTTTTCTTATGTTCATCATGACATCATGTAAATGAATGGTGAATTATTAGGTATACGTATTTCTAGAATAACAATCTTAAAATTGTAATAATATTCATTTATCTATTTTAAGACATGCAAATACATACATGTGTGTAAGGAATATGTATCTGTATATTGACACTGGATTTATACTTAGTGAAAGTATAAAAATAAATTTTTATATGGAGTGTGATTTTTTTTTCTTTTAATTTGTTTTTATAAACCGCACTGTTTCGTGTTAGTATACGAGTACTTGTATATGTAGTTGCAACTATTGTTTTCTTTCAATCGGACTGATAATGTCGATTCTACAAGTTTAATAATTCAAGTTAATGTATGTACTTATTTACAAGGTATTATTGTAACTTTCGAATAATGAAATAAGTACAATTACTGCCATATTGATGCAATACAAGTCAATAGATTATTGTCTAGGGAGGTTTTAATGCAATTACAGTGTTTATTGCTTGAATATTTCAAACAATTTCAATCGGTTTTTGAATATGAAAAATATTTTGTTCAAAATAAATACCTATACCTTTTATGTTCATAATAACTTTTATTCTATTATGTGGGTCGCTCCACATGGTTTGTACCTATGTCGTTCTGAATTGAGCCCATTAGAATATTGATCGTGCATAAGAATGTTTTGTATGTACTTCCGGGTGCGTATAAATACAATTCATTCGTTTAATATACCGATTAAGTTATTTCATTCATGGTTATAAAAGCAATTTTCACAATTAATAATTTAATGTTAACTGAACAATTATTTGAACTCTATATCGTATTGATTATTATTATTATCATGGTTAATATTTTGTTATAACTTCAAGCTGAATTGTACACATACTAAACAAGAATAACCTGTACGTTATTTTCGGATGACTTTTAAAACTATTAAAATAGTTTTGTAAGTTTTTTTTTTGTAAAAACAAAAGTAGAATTTACTTTTACGAATTATACCAAGACTGTGAAAACACAGTTAATTTCTCTAATTCGTGTACATTATTGCGTTAATATTGTAAACAATAATTATTCATGCATTGCGAGATTCATATTTTTTCCAAATGAATATCAAACAGATTATTTGTGGTTAATCTAAGGTCAGAGTACCTATATATTTTTGTTTTTATTAATTTTCGTTTATTTAAATTATCTAAATTAGTAGGTAAGGATTTTCATTATATTTTGGTTGAAAGTTTTTAATTTTTTAAATTTCAATATAGTCGGTCACAAAAACGGATACATGATTTTATTCTTCATTTATCATATACATGTATAAATTATCAAATATTTGTCGAAAATGGATTATTTACATTTTATTAATTTATTGAGATAATATATACTCTTTAAAGTAGCGTACATGAATGTGGGTTCCCGTCTATGTTACATACATTCTTAATTTCTTAATTTATTCTGTTAAATATAGCCGGCTAATTTTAATAGCATTTATTTTCATTTTCAGATTACCAAAATGAAGTAATTTAATTAACTGTAATATTAATTTCAACGAAACACTAATATGCGAATCAATGGCGCAGAATCACTGTCATCGTCTTCAAAATCTGAAGCCGGTAAGTTTATAAAAGAATAATTTTCGTGTTCGATACGTTTTAATTAACAATCATGAACACTCACATTATGTAAAAGTATAAGTTATAAGCTAGACCATTTGTTAAAATTAGCCGTATCTGTTTAGTATTAATTTATTATTTATAGGATTACCATATGAATACAAAACATAATAATTCTATCATAATGCGTTTGGTGAAACGGTGGTTAATTACATTTCATAAACACTGATAATAACATCAAGGCTTAAATTATCTTAATGTATTGGAAAATATGTTCAACATCCAACATTGTCTGTAAATTATTCTGTTTAATTATTATAACGTAACGAGTACAGTTTTTGCATTTAGCATTGGAACAGTGTATGTGCATCATATAGTATGCACGCATAAATGTGTGTGCGTGCGTGCGTGCGTGCGTGCGTGTGTGTGTGTGTGTGTGTGTGTGTGTGTGTGTGTGTGTGTGTGTGTGTGTGTGTGTGTGTGTGTGTGTGTGTGTGTGTATTAGAACGTCTTAAAGTTTTTCATTTCGTCTAAAATAACTTGTTACTACACTCAGATAGAACGTGTACGCTTGTTTCAGTTATATGACTATTAATTGAGAATGGATAGCTCATCTTACTCGTGGATACCGGTGGTATGCTAAGTAGATGAACGATATCATTACAACGAACGGTCACGACTATTTTTTCTAGGAGAAAGTCTTTCGCCGCCTTATACCTGTATCTATCCGTTTAACTTGGAATTTTATTCTAGAATTTCATCCGGCCTCGTTACTGGTCGACGCGCACAATCCAAATAATTTTCGCCGTCGGATCCTCCGACGGTGTTTACACAATAAAAGATCGGTCAGCGAGACGTACACTTACGTAACAATACGATCAACGTAAAAACTACAATATCGAAACGCAACAATAATAGCGACGACAATAATAGCGAATTCCGTTTTAAAAAACCAATTTCTGAAGTCGTTGCGTAGTCGATGGTGGTCATTGTTGTCGACGATGCGTATTTCAGCGTCGTCGTCCCCCCGGGGGCGGCGCTGGCAGATGCGCATCGTTTTTTTTTTTTTTTTTACTGTTATCGTTATTATAATGTTGTGTTACTCCGAAACGATAATATTATACTCTTGATAATATAATACCAGCCGTGTTATGTGTCTACGTGCGCGCGTACATAATACGCGTCTAAGTGTTAACGACACTGGTCGCGCGACAGTGGCAATCTGTCTAGAGATGTCTTCGAAGGCCGTGGGAAATCTTGAAAACCTGCACTCCATCGTATAGTTTAGTCATAGTGAGGCGCTAGGCTGTACCGTGACAGTCGTACCGGTTGTAACGTCGAAAACTTAGAATAATGTGCGTGCACAGGGTGTTCATTTTAGCATGCAACTGCTCGTTTCCAATCATTCTGTCAAGTTTTTATTTAATTTTTGGTTACAAAATCACGTATAATTCTAAATATTTGTAAAAATAATTTTTGTCAAAAAAAACTTTTATCGAGTTGAATTTTAAATATTGACATTCAGTGTCAAACTTTGATTTATAAATATCCATTGTTAAATACAATACATAATTGCCTATAAGTTTTTTCAGTTGTTTTTTTTTTTAAATTTCAGAGAATTTAACAGCGCAGTGGATTCTTACAATATTAGAAAATACCTCCCAACGTTTTACTGCGTTACTTTGACTATTGGTTTATTTTTCTCGAGTATTTCTTTATAAACTAATGTCTGTTCTACAAAAAAAAAAAAAATAAAACAAACATTTTTACTAAATAAAAATGGAAAACCATAAAACGTCAGTGGATTGTAAAAGTTTTGTTATTTTTTTTTTCTTTAATATAAACGTGTTTGTTCTAATAAAATATGATTGAATATGGTTTTTATTTTTAAAACTCGAAAATTTACCAAGGAAATGATTGTTGTATGAAATGCACCTTGTACAACGTCACGTACACGAAAACCGTGTGCAGCAGGTGCGTAGACAGTAAGTACCAGTGTGGTACTGTTACTATAAGTTTGTTCATAGGTATACCGTACGTAAACACGCGTATAACGCGTTACGGACGTGTCTGCACGCCGTTCTTACCGCAAACCGAACGTGTATACTCGTAGAGTCCGGTGCCCACTTTATTTGATCGCCGAAAAGCAAAATCGGAAAAATAATTAAAAAAAATAAAAAAAAACTGAACGTTTTCACTTGTTACGACGTCACAAAAATGTACTGCGACCGTCCGACCGATAGCGCACATCCGATCCCGCACTCAGGATGTGCATTGTCCTTGACACTCCTGCCCGTCGAACAGTTCCGGAATACGTGTCGTGTGCGTACGTCGAGGATAACGTTATTATGTTTTTGTATAATTATTATTACGGGAAGCCGTAAAACATATGTTTTCCCATTCGAAAATACGTTGTCGTTTCCGCGTCGTTCAACCGGTTGGATTTCGTGTGCGCGCATCGAATCCAGCGCGCGATTCCGTCGCAAAATCGTGTTTTCACGACCGCATACTTGTATATGAATAGCGTTAATTTTTTTTCGTTAAAAATACTCTACACGTGTAACAAGTAAAAATACAATTTAAAAAAAAAAATCCTGTTTGCATCCGATTCAATAACTTATGCACTGTCCCCACAAATACGTTTACACGGCCGTAATAATATGCGTGTACTAATATGTGTATGTAGTGCACGATCGTTTTCTGTTTTTATCATAATCGCCTGCCCACTGAAAACTCTAAAGTACCTTTAAAATCGGACGCGTAAGTAAAAACTATACCGACGAATTTTTCGTATAGGGTTCGATTTTTCGTACGCTTCGTGATGTGTTCGGTAGATGATCATAACACGCATTATACGTTCCGTATAATTTGAAACCATCGCGGTTTCTTTACCTATTTTAATAGATCTGATTAACCGTTTAAAAACTCATTGTTTACCAATCATTATTAACGCAATGACCAAGCTAATATTTTTATTTTTTTATACAATGATATACTACTTATTTATTATTTACGTATCTTTACTTTCTCTCTCGCATCACCACTCTTCATTATCGTGATCGAATATGTTTTTAATTTTTCAAACTGTTTAGAGTTATAATTAAACGTTATCGTCATAATGCCATTATTATTTTCAATGTAATGGAATAGAATCTAAATTATAAATCCTATCATTGTATTATTCGTTGATAATTTATGACTTATACCTATTGATACATCAATGTGCTACTATATATTCAAAATGTATATTTTCTTTAGTTTATAAGACTTATAGGTTAACTGTAGTTAATTATTTGAATATTAAATACTGAAAAAAAAATTGATCAGAAGGAAAATACTTGGTTTTGTGTATTTTTTGAAAATCATTTCCCGTTTTAGCATGCGTAACACTTATCGTTTCGGTCCTGTGAATTTCGTGCGAAAATAAAATTCTACCTTGGAAATTGAAACTAAGTCGTTTATTCAATGTCATTAATGTTGAGAATAGAATAATGAAATTTACTTATAATAGGATAACGTTTACTTTATTTCGAAAGACAAACGGATTTGAGTCATTAAATTTTCATGTTTTCATAAAATAACATTTTTGTAGAAAATATTTTTTCATCTAACAAAAAGATTTAATTTGTGAATTGAATTATTGTGACATATTCCTATCAGATTTAAAGCAATTTGTTTTTGGATTTTTATGATTTCATGATTTATTGTTAATACCCGTCGGTGAATTTAGTATTTGAGGCTTAACACGTTATTAATACAACAAAACACACTCGAACATCCGGATTCCGAAGTACGGATTTTAACCGTGGAACTATTTTGAATCGTATGAGATCAACTGTTTTCTGAACGTCTTATCAGTCAGATTAGCCAGACTTGTTTTTACGCGAGAGGGACCCCCGGTATGTGGTAACACTGCCCGCATCATATATCGATTGACCCTCGTGGTCACCCTTCGAGGGCTGTGTGCCGTGAGAAGAGCGTTCATACAGCTGCAACGACTGCAACGACGCGGTAGCCGTTGTGTTTGAAATCAAACGTCGGCCAAGTGTGTCGTGTGTGTGTTCGTTTTGTTGGGTTGTTTTATATATATATATGTATATATAAACATAAATATATATTTAATTTTTTTTCCATATCTGTTGATATAGATTTATCATGTTTTCACTTTATTAACCGTAGAGATTTCATTAGACGTTGTAGATTTCATTAGGTTCAATCGAGTGGAGTGGAGTGTTGTTGTTTTTATCGGGAACTTTTTATGACAATTCACGTGCATCAAATTTGTCTTCATAAGTAAGTCCGTTCTGAAAATGTCTTTTGATGGTGTTCTTGAGATACGTTTTTGATTTTTTGAACGTTCGACGTAGGTATTAGAATTCACAATTAGTACTCGTAGGTAGCGTATCCGTACACCCAGTCGTATCATCATAATCTTTTATTTCAACGTATTAGAATTTTATTATGTTGTACGCCGGACACCTGCGACAGTCCGTGTAGGTTTCAACGTCCGTTTCCAGACGACGGAAATCTGGAGATCCTATTTTTATGTACTACCTTCGGTCGTCAACCTCGCTGGATGTGTGATTTCCAAATTTAGCATTTGTCATCCTCATATATACTGCTGTACGTCGTAGTTATCCATTTACCTGTTATATCGTTGGAGATAGACAATTTTTTACGTCTTTAAAATAATTTCTTATGCATTTTTGTAGTATGATCGTTGTGTTATTAGCTGTAATCTTTAAATTTGTGACAAATCTTGTTTATAAAAACATTAATTTTCCTTGACACAAATTATGTTTGCCAATTGAATAATCAAATTCGATTAAAAGAAATCAAGTATTTCTTGTTTTCTTTGTCTTACTCAAATTAGAAGAATTTTGTATCATGGCAAACCTTTAGTTATTGAGTGTAAAAAATATCAAATATTGTTATTTTATTTTTATTTTCATTGTGAAATTACCTCAAAACAATAATATATTGTTTCTGTAGAGGATTGTAAATACTACTTAATGTTATAGTTAAAAATATTTGTTTGAATTAATTGGTGATTTTATTATTGATTTCATAGATTTAATTTTATATTTATTCATACAAATAATAATTTAACGTATCAAAAAAAGTTTACATTATATGAATGTTTATAATGCCACTATTATGACTTTGCGTAATACTAATATCACCTAATTCAAAAAATTTCATTATTTTTTTCTTGTGAAATTATCTTTTCTTTATATTTATTTAATTTAAATATATTATCAAATTTATAATGTTTACTAAAACAATTAAATATAAATTTTTTTGCTGTCGTTTTGTAGATATTATATAAAAATTATTATTAATTTAAGAAAACCAGTTAATAATCATAATTACATTCAAATTAAGTAAATGGTCACATTTTCTGAAGAAAAGTAAATTGCTTATTATAATGGAAACTTAAGATAACGATTAATATTTATAGTTATTATTGGAATATAATGAATTTTCGGTTATAATATCTGGAGAAATTATAATTTCTAAAAATACTATGGATAAATGTTGATTACATTTTTTTTATCGAATAATTTATTTAATTTTATATTAACGTTTATAAATAACGAGGTTTTACTGCAATCATCGATTTCTGATACATTGTGAACTATATTTTACACAAGTATATTAAATCATACGTAGTTTCATTTATATTTCCATATTAAATAAGTAAAATAAAATTATATAAATTAGTTTTAATTTTTATAAACAAACACTATTTTGACATTGCATGATTCATTAAGCTTAATTTTTTTTTTTAATATTATTAGTTGATACCTATATGTTTCTGAAATATTCAAATATTTTTTTCATTTTGAAATTTATAAATGTATGTATATTTTATTAAAAAAATATATCAATAATATTAATTGTATATATTTTCGTTTGTTTACATTTTTTCATAAGTTGGCTTTGAATATAATATTTAATTAACACAGGTCAAATATTTGTTTTACTTGTATTTAAAATAATATATCCATAAATAATTATAGTGACAGATATCGTGAACCTAAATTGAAATATAGTAAAACACACTTATCGATTTCGTATTATAAATAGAATTTTGTTAATAAAATTAAATTGAGGTATACTACAATTCAAAGTGTTTTTTGCGAGTTTCACATATATAGCTGAAGTTTTTCCAAGTTTATTTTAATTACTCGTCCATTTTCGCTTATCCAAAAAACACGCAACTGTTATTGCGTGATTCTTGTCTATATTTCTTGTTCGATGCGTTCCTCGTCATTAATAGCTTGACAACTTATTTTTTTATCTAAGAAAAAAAAAACAACAAATTATTTTTTTAATATTTTCTAATGTGTTTAATAACTATGATTGGATGGAACAGCGCTGTAATTGAAAACATATCAGAAATAAGTTTAGTTACCGACATGCAGACTGTAACGGCTAAGGTGCAATTGGCATGGAGTGAGTGTATATTAAACTCTATAATCAACTTTTAAAGTCAATATTAACATATAAAACAGTGTCAAAAACCATGCATTATCGTTTTTATTTGAACAATGGGCGTAATCGCTAAGATGCATTGATAAATGTGTTGGGCGTATATGAAGCTCATAAAATAACAAAATGTATTTTCATACCACTCATTTTTCGTGTATTTACTTTAATAAATTAGCGGTATATAATTTATTGTAGAACTATCTTGACATATGAAAAATAAAATAAGTTAAGGTGATTATGTACTTTATATATAAAATATAGCAATGTATATTAGTATATTAGTAATATATAATATAACCAATGTATATGGTGGATGTATTATTTTTAAAAATTATAAAGTAGTATTGAAATATTTTTTTCTCTATAATACTACTGTAATTTTGATTATAAGTGTAATTTAATGAATTATTATTACTTTACTCGAAGTTATTTGTTAATAATGCAAATATTTTCTTTTCACGTTTAGTTTATGTTTAGATCAGTGGTTTCCAACTGGCGATAAATCGATAAATCGTTTTATAAGTATGTATTTACCAGCTTATTATCGATATTCGATGAAAACTGATCGAACTAATCGTAAATATATGTAATATTTTTTATTGTTAGTATGCCCGTCGCAGCCGTTTCGATCGATCGATTGTATTAATATATTTCACAGTAAATAACCCTCAAAATAGACTGTAAACAGTGTAAATATATATATATATAAATAATATGGTTCACATAATATATGGTATATTGGTGTGCCGTGAACATTTTGTTTTAGATGAAGTGAACCGCATTGTTAGAAAAGTTGAAAACCACTGGTTAGATTATAATTTATAAGTAAATAAATATTAATATTTTTTCTATTCTATCTACGAAAATAAAAACAAAATTCAAAAACTTACTTTATGTGTATTTACAACTATAAGACATCCACAACCGCATATTTTTTTTACTAATTCTGGATTATTCTTTTTAAATTAAATACATTTTTCTTGAAAATAATATTCTATCTTATCTAATTTATCTATAATATAAAGAAGAAAACCCACGAGAAATTCCAATAATGTATCTATAAAACTTGGTAATATATTTTTAAATAATTAAAAATATTCCTTGTGTAACTTGGTCAGTGTTAAAATAATTACTCTGTATATTATATATTGGTTATATTTTAAATTGTTGTTCAACTAGTTAACTTAAATTGCTTACATTATTGAGGATAACATTTTATTAACGTAGTAGAAATTAATTACTTAATTTCTAACCTTGAAATTACAGGTTCATTATTTTAAACGAAAACCCTAATATATTTCTTTAATAGTATTAGTAAAGTATTTTATAAAATGTATTGATTCATACACAAATTTTTAATTATAATTAGTTGCGAAAATTTGAATTTTATTTGCATTTAATTTTTAATTTTTTATATGGTTTACCACTAGATTTCCCATTTACTTTTATTAACGCAATAGTTATTTTTATTAAGTTGTTTTTGATTTTATGACGTGCATTGTGTTTCTTATGGTTATTGTTAATAATGATAAATCAGTATTTACATTTATTGTGGGTATTGAAATATATATAATTTAATAATTGATAAGGTATTAATGGAATATAATATATATTTAAAATTTATTCATTATTGTAAAATATGACACATTTTTAACATTTTTGAAAATTCATGAAAAATAAAAAAAATTTCATATGGAATCTCTTAAAAGGTTGATGATTTTATTTAGATACATTTTCTTTTCTTTAACTTAATGTTTATTTTAAAATCATACTTATGTTTACATTTGTGTAATTACTATACATTTAAATTTAAATAAATGTGATTTCAAATCATTCAAATTATTAATATTTTATTTTTATACATACTATCTATTTAGTTGAAAATAGCAATTACTTGTTGTGTTTTCAAAAATAATATTCGCGTATTGGGCGTATACTTCTTTTATGATCGCTGATGGACCAATAAATAATAAATGCATGTAATTTACTTCGTTGATGTTACCTAAAAATTTTGTAGTTAAAACAATTACACTTCGTTAATAAAACCTATTTTGGTGTATATTTTTATTTAATATAATCATAAAAATATTTTGAATTTCTTATACGCGTACAAAAGTTTCATTTTAATTGTTAATTAAAATTTGAAAAGGAAAGGTCATAATAAAATAGTTGAAAGTAATTTTTTATACATAATTTAAGTACTTAAAACATAAAACTTATTGGATAATTATGGTAATATTAAGTTATAAATTTGATAGTAATGTAAAATATTGCCAAAGTTAAATTAATTTTTTTTTATAGATGACATGATTGAAACGGAAAATGAATCCCTGCGTGAACGTGTTGGTGATTTGGAAAAGAAAGTTTTGGAACAAGGTGACGAAATTGTGTGCCTACGATCAACGTTAGCCGATGCACTTAGGCGGTTGAACCAATTGGAAGGCAGTCGGACATTAAGTCTTAACACATCCGTTTTGAAGAATGGAAATACGCCTAGGGCGGGTACGTTTTTCGCTAATTATTGTATAAATCAAATGCTATGGATGATAAATCGTGTTGCGTTTTATCAGAGAAAGCCTATAAGTAATATCAAACAAATGCCGCGAAAACAATCAAAACGAGTGGAAAGTTTTTTATAGGTTTTCAGTTGGTACCTGCAGTCCATTATTTGTTATTTTATTTATCGAGGATTGATATATTCTGTTTGAAAGTTTACGCAATAGCAATGCCCTTGATTAAACACTTTAAAGAATAAATAAAAACCAACGTGTTCTAACTATGCAATTAAATTCGAAGTGAAATTGTTTGATTTATTTTTTTTTTTTTTAGCATGAACTAAATTGCTCTCATACTTACTATAATTGTAAACTTGCTAATCATCTATTTTCATGATGCCTTGCGATGTACAGAATATAATTAGAAAAGAAATTATTAAACTTAAAAAACTATACTTTAAAAATATAAATAATTATATTAATGATGATAATATGATTTGCTTTAGTTTGAATTATAAATACCTAAGTAATATATATTTTCTAAAAATAATACTTTTGTATACGTTGATGTTTTTTTTATTTCCTATTACAAATCTATATTTTGTAAATTATTTATTTTACGCTGATTAATTTAATGTTTTTATATGAGCACGTGTAAAAATGTCATATTATTAATAATAGAAAACCATTAATATTAGTGAAGTAAATCTATTATTTTTTAATTAAGATATTGACGGATTTCTTAAATTACTGTAAACTAATAGGAGAAAAATAGCAAAATATTTTAAAACCGGTTTATATTTCAACGTAATAACAAATCAACAATGAGAAGATTTAATTGTATAAAATGCTATTTTCAGGGGCTCGTATAGTCAATCAAAATGAACATTTGTATGATATATTGATGGGCTGGACGCCTATATCACATGATAATATTTAATTCATGCTTGCCTATAATAATAGTTAAAAATCATAAAATCTTAATTTCACTGATTTATTCATATGTTTTAATTTTTGAATTTTAAGTTTTAATGTTAATTTTTTTTTAGGTAATCATTATGGTGGAAATGGTCATCATTTAATTTCACCAACTTTATCACAAAAAGAAGTAACACTTCGCTATAGATCTACAAATGAGCATCCAGTGTCTGCCCTAAGGGACCCAGTCAGAAGAGTCCCTAGTCACAATAGCACACATTCTTCTTTACCTCAAAGGTAATATTTTTATTTATATTTATATTGCATATTATTATTTATTGTTATGTAATTTTTACTTGTGATTAAATTATTTTAGAAGGGCTGTACATTATCAATCTACCGGGTCATTACATTCAGATTCACCAAGTTCAAGTAGTGTATCACCAGTGCCTCCAGCGTCTCCATCACCATCACCTACAAGGCCTGCAACTGCTCAAAAATCACAGCGTTCAAATGGCACAAATTTGTATAATTCTAAACGATGGAGTTCTACTGGAGACTTCAATCAGGCGCAACAATTTAGTGTTGCACCCCAATCTTCCACATTAGCTTCCAGGTGAACTTAATGGGGTTCAATATATGTGTGTCTTTAGTGTAACTATATGTAGTGTATACATAGCTTATTTATTTTATCTGGTTGTGATTTTAAATACATTAACACATTTCATTGTAAAGAGTTAGAATTATGAAAGGTGTAAAAAAAGAAATTATAAATAGATACAAATATAATATCAAGTTTTCTTCGTACAAATATAAAATAATGATTTCTAGTGTATAATTAAATAATAATGAATAATACAATAAAAATATTTATTATTATTAAATTGCATTTATTATGCTCAAAAACTAAAGTATTTTTTTATGAAATTTGAATTTGATAACAATTACTTATATTTATATTAAAATATAAAATATAACACTTACATTTATATTAATATTATTCAGTTCACTAGATTATTCATAAAAACAACCTTAATATTTATCTTCCCCTTGGAGAATAAATTAATTAAAAATGTGCATAACTACCCATATTACTTAAAAAAAATATTATTACATTTATTAAATGTGACTATTGAACACTAATACAATATACACACAATAAATCTTTATAATGATTTTGTTAGATAAAATGAAGTAATAAAAAAAATATATATATATATTTGCATATGATAACTTAAATTTGTTTAAAAATTAAAAATTATATACTATTGTTATAATTAAATGAAAAATAAAGTTATAAAATAAATTTATATTTTTACTGAAATTTGAACATATTTCCTTATATTTCTTTCTTCCTAATATATTTTATTTATAAATTATTTTGTTTTCATTATGAATATATAGTTATTTTTTTAGTCACATTGGTGAATTATAAATTATTTTTATATTTTTATTCAGATGTTAGGTTAAGTTATATTGTCTTATAAATATTTAAAGTAATAGTCTCTTTATAAATCATAAATATTTTATTTTCTTATAATTCAAATTAAACAATGAAAAAATTATTTAGTTATTATATACCATTTAACTATTTTTGATAAACAATATTTTACAATTTGAATTAAGTAAAAATGTAACTTAAATATTTAATAAAAAAAATTAAAGATGTACTAAAAAATTAAAAAAAAATACAATAATTTTTTTATCTATAACATAATATAAATAAAAAATTATAATTGATATTTAAATATTAGTCCAATCAAGAATTAAGTATTCATAAACATTTAATCATGCTGAATATGCATTCACATTTATTAAGCATAATGTAGAAAATTTGTTATTATTTTATTATTATACCTTTAATACTTGATTACAAGTAAAATTTAAAAATATTCTGTTAAATTATTCCGATTATATCTTTTATAAAGTATTCAACTTAACTGACTATTCATGTTGGCTTCATTTATATTATGCTTTAAAATAGTTTCACTTTTTTAAAATATTGCCAATTCATATTAGGATGTACTTAGTTTTTATTTTAATTTTAAGCAGAGTGTATATTTGAACTGTGAACCAATTTTTTTTTTTTTTAAGTAGAATTTTAATCATTCTTAACTGTATACATTTAATTAGTTAAACATCAAATAATAAAAAGGGTGCAAAAAAAAATTAAAACATTAATTATAAAACAGTGTGTGTTTTAACGTATGTGAAACGTAAAACATTTGCGTTTTCACTATTTTATGTATTATTAATGTTTGTGTTTGTTTTGCATGTTGTGTGAAATTGTGATATGTAATTGTAGACTTGGCACAAAATCATTGCTTAATTTGAACTTGCGAACACCTACACAGCAAAATCACAACCATCATTATCATCAAAAGCATGGGTAAGAAAATGTTATAATTAGTATATATATATATTTTTTTTTTGGCTTATGAACTTTTGGTAAATAGGTTTTAGCTGTAAAAAGTTTTATGGGTTCTTATTATATGTATTATGGCATTGTGATGTAATAATCTACTGTGTTTGAGTGTTAAAATATTGGTAATAATGGTAAATTCTAAAAACATATTTTTGTCTACTCCTAAAACATTTTTTGTTGGTAGTTTTGAATTCTTTAAATTCTTAATGAAATAATTTTTGGAAATGTCTTATTTCTTGTTAATTTAATTCTTAAGTGTATCACTCATCAGTTTGATTGTTGGTAACTTAGATATCATGCTCTAAAAATATTAGTTTTGTGAAAGATAGTGCAATTATGCTTTATGCTCGATACTAGATTAATATTATGAAGTTAGTTTAAATTCATTAAAATTTAAACTGAAAGTGTATTTAAACATATGTATGTATATTGTTAGTGGAATTTTTTTTATGTCTTATTCAAGTATACATTACATTAATCAATAATTTAATTGAAATTTGTATCGGAATTAACCTAATGTAACAAAAAAAAAATTGTTCATTATTTTTCTTGGTAAAAAGTGTTTCATTATATATTTTATAATATATTGATAAAGATATAAACTGAACTTTTCATTAAAGTTGAAACCAATGATGAGTCATTAAAAAAATCATTTAATATGTTTTCTTTTATATTTTTTATAACATGATAGAAAGATGTTAATGCATTTAAATGTTAATTAAATATTTTACTTTACATGATAAAAAAATAAGTTACAATATGTCAGAATTAAAAAACAGATTTTTGTAAATAACAGAATATTTTCATAATGTTTGCTATTGGTTTTAACATATTTTGTATTTCAATCTTCTATGTTGTATTTTTTGAAATCGGTTTTTTGTACTCAAATACTTTAACTAAATTTGATTGCAAGCCTAAGTATTATTTTAGAAATGTATAAAATGAATAATACATTGTTAAAATAGTGTGCTTATTTTAGTCAAAATGATTTAACTTTGTCATCATTTTTATTATTGCAAACAAATACTAGATAGGTAAAACCAATTAATTGTGTGATTTGCAAATGTTGGATTCTTACCAGGAATTAATCTCAATCATATATACATTTACACACACTAAGAAATAGGAGTATTATTTTTCGATATTTATTCCTAGATTTACGTGTATATTACATGTTAAATTGTTAAGTAGCTCTAAAACAATCAATACTGAAATTGAAACCGACTTTTAGTCATGAACCTAGACAAGCGGAACGTTCTGTTGAATAATGAGTTACCTAAACTTGACAGGTCACAAAAAAAAAGAAAGGAAATTATTTGAAATCAATTAAATTCAGAAATGATTACGAAAATAATATCGAATGTTAATTACTTGGCTGTATACGTTTCTGTTATGAAATACTTTTTATGTTATGAATAAAACCTAATAAATACAATTTGAAATTTTCTAATTTTTTTAAATTCGTTACGTAATAAAACTCATGTTCATACATTTTTATGGAATTTACACTGGTTTTATAATTGAAAAATATTGGAAGTATAATTCAATACTTTATTATTTACTATAATTCCCAATTGAGGATGTAATACAATAGTTAGAATATATTTGAAAGAATAGAAAAACAAATCTATTTTTATTATTAACTTTTTTATGTACAATTAAATTATTTAATATAGTTGGAGCACAAAATGCATATTTAATTTTCATTAAATATTTATTCGTGTTTTCAATGCGGTTTTGTGTGGTATGCAGATAACAATATTTTTGATCGTGGGATCTTAAAAATATTTATTTTTTTGTAAACCGCACAAAAAAATTGTATTTCATGTGAAATTAAATTAAATTGGAAATAGAGATACGAAGAAATATATAGAAAATTCCGTGTTCGCATATAAATTATTTGATAAAATTTCAAATTTCAATTAATTACATCAATATTTAACTATATAATAATTATCTACTAACTATATTTGAAAAATTATTGTTTCTTTTAAGATCATTAATAGAGCTGTGAATTTCTAAACATCTTTTTGATGCATTATTTATTAGTTTTTTTCTTTTAAAACACTTATACTCACCTACTCACACATGAATTTCAAAAACAATTATTACCAGTAATAACCTTTAATAATTTACAGTTTTTCTCTCTTCAACTATAAATATTGTATGCATTATAGGTATGTAAATCGTTTGGGGGGTAGTGTTGGTCGTTGTACATTTATGATTAACACGTCATTAAATTTGAGCGGAAAAATAAAACAAAATTAAGGGCGAAACATTTTCAACGTCGTCGAAACGTTGTTCAGATCTCGGAAAACCGTGTCGGGTACGAATCACGGAATTCTTGTATATTTACATTTTTCCCGCGCTCCGCGTAGAGTTATTATTTTTTTTTTTTAACTCGACGTTTATTGATAACGAATTGGTCCACGCTAATGACCGATAGGCGATAAACATTATTACCATTTTACCGCGTGTGAACATTTCGTACTATCGGTTTGATAAACGCGAGCTGAGGTTTTTTTGTTTTCTTCGTTTTTTTTTTTTTTTTACTAGGTCCACTGTCTACGTGTTGCATTGTCGACCTTGGGCGCGTTGGGAATTTTTTCGGCTTGGGAGGGGGGGGCAAGTGTCGTTTTATTGACAAATTGCGGTGCCCGTGCGCGATACGCAACGATGGGCTTATCGGAGATGCGCGTATATCCCACAACAGCGGCGGTTGACAGCGACCGACACGGGGCAAGGGCGGGGGCACCGCTCAATTGTACCGGGCGTACGGGTACACGTTAATATATATAGCGTTCGCTCGACGCCCGATGACTTCATACCGTCGTCTCGTCTCCAGTCCGACAGCAGTGCGTGTTTTTCGTCCGGCCGTCGCGCACGTTCGCCGTCGTCCCGTCGTATCAAGTCCAGCCGTCACTTATCGTACTAGTACCGTCCTTGCCGGTGTTCGTCGCTTGTCGAGTCCGAACCGCGCGTTAACAATGCCTGCAGCCGCGGCCGCCAAACCGAACAACCAGAAGTACGTACCCCATTATTTCACGTCAGATCCAGGGTCGATTTTTCTCAGGACCCGTCGCTAGAAAACCGCGCTCGAGCTTGCGGATATCGTTCAACGCGCGCCCGTGAAATTCGTGTGCGCAACACGCCTTAAGGTTTTCGTGGTGCTCCAGCAATCGTTAGCCGACAATCGCTTCGAAGTGTTTTCGAAATATTTGCTTGCGTACAATTGATACCCTTCTTTTGTTACGGATGTGAGTAGCGAACAACGTTCTCGTACCGATCAAAATCATTCACGTAATTGAGACTCCGATACCAAGGATTATAGTTTTTTATTATTTTTACCGCTGCACATCGTGATATTAATAAAAGGGGCTTATCCCTCTTCCCCCCCTCCGAAAATAGATTTCCTCCTATATGGGTCGTGATAAGAGACAAGGAGTGGAATGGCTCATACGAGGACTTAAAAAGTAGATAGGAGGTTGATAAGATTATCTTTATAAAAATGTCTCTTTTAAGACCCTCTAGTACGTACTGTATCGGATGTGGTTGATGTACGGGTCTTGATTGTTCGTAATAGAACTGTGATGCGCTTGTATACGTAACGGTAATGTCTACGAATTACGTAATAAGATATTTTCAATCGATTAATATTTATGGGTGCCTTTCGGCCTATTATTGACAACATGTTCAAATATTTTGACCTTTGTTTCGAAATATCTTGAGAAATATATAGAAACTTATAGAAATATCTATATATGTTATAATTGAGCTTGGTTAATCAACCATATATATATATATATATATATTAATTATAAAACTGCTGTTGGGTGTACTGTTGTTTTCATTTTGAACATTTTTTATCGAGATATGAATTTACTCGTTATAAAACGTTTGGCGAGTTTAACGTACAGAGCTATTGGGGAAGTACAACAAAATCGTTAAAATCCCATGTAACACATATCTGATCATTTTAACGTACTCGCAGAGCAGATGTAAATTCAACATAAAAGGAATAGAGGGACTCAAAATATAAAAAAAAAAATAGTAGCTTAAAATTGGGGTGGCGTATGGGGTTTACGTTTTAGTTATTCTCGCTTTCAAAGTAGGTATTCAACGTGTAGGTTTGTTTGTTCCTTGCTTATAACATACCAGAAAACGTTAATAAAAATAAAATTCTTATAGCTTCTTGTTTTTGGATAAATGTATTTAATAAGTTGTTGAATAGTTACAACTATGTCGCACGATTTACACGTAACATAATAGAATATGAAGAGTTTTTAGAAATTCGCAGTACGTTATGAAAATATTATTATTTTATTATTTTATTTATATTATATATTAAATATGAAAAAATTTATTTAAATTATTATTCCTTCATCTTTTCAGCATTTTATCGCATACGTTTATGGTCTACATTTTTAGAATCATGCTTCGCTATAGATAGAAAATAATTATGTAATAAATGAATAAATGAATAGTTTAATTTACATTATCTGAATTTTAAATTCAAGTAATAAGTGATTTTAAGTATTTATTACAGATCCGACAGTAAAATGATTTAGTAGTTTTAACTCTTAAATCTAAAGTACTGTGTTTTCGTTACATCAAAATTATTATGTATTTAATTTGTTATCAAATAAGACTCATTGATTTTAATTAATGTTTAATTTCACATTTCATAATACAAAATATTCCATATCATTCATTATTTAATTATTTATTTATCACATTAATCAATAATATTATTTATATCAGATATTTATTTTGAGCCATTCCTTATGAATATTATTAAATTAATAGTGTACAATTTATTTCTAATATACAATTTTAAATCACACTAATTATTATTCAAATAAATATTTAGGGATATAATTTATCTCAGAAATCGTTTATGTCTATCATTAAAATGCTATTTAGGTATTATTATTAAGTCATATTATATTTTATAGAATTTAAAA